TACTCAGGAGGCTGAGATCTGAGGATCACAGTTCAAAGCCAGCCTGGGCAGGAAAGTCCATGAGACTCTTATCTCCAATAAACCACTAGAAAACTGGAAGTGCTGCTGTGGCTCAAGCGGTAGAGCACTTGCCTTGAGCTGAAGAGCACAGGGACAGCGCCCAAGCCCAGAGTTCAAGACCCACGACCGACAAAGGAAAAAAAAAAGTGTCATGGGCTTTCCTGCTGGGGCCGGCTTTGCACTGCACCATGATCCTCAGAGCTCAGCCTCCTGAGCAGCTAGGATTATAGGCGTGAGCCACCAGCGCCTGGCCTGTTTTTGTTTATATCAGAATTCTGCTTTTATGATACTAGAATTATGACTTAATAACTGAAGCCAATTTAAGAAGGGTGTTGTGATTGGAGCTCCTTCCTTAGGCATTTTTTCCTCTGATATATATTGCTTGATTTTTAATTTGCTTTAATCTTCTGAGGTAAGTGAAAAATAATCTTACGATTTGATTTCCCATTGAGATAAGAACATTTTTGTTTTCTTTCTCTTTTTTGTTGGTCATGGGGCTTGAACTCTGGGCCTGGGCGCTGTCCCTCAGCTCTTCAGCTCAAAGCTAGAGCTCTACCGCTTAAGCCACAGTGCCACTTCTGGTTTTCTGAGTGGTTTATTGGAGGTAAGATAAAAGTCTTTCAAAGACTTTCCTGCCCCGCTTCGAACCTCAGTCCTCAGATCTCAGCCTCCTGAGCAGCTAGGATTAAGGCGTGAGCCACTGGTGCCCGGCTAGAATTGCTGTCTTTCTTGGTGGGACTTTCCCAGGAGAACTCTAAAGGTGAGACACGTCATTCTTTGAACTGCAGATGTGTCATGCCTGGTTTAGTTCCAGGACAGTCTTTCTCCAGAGAATACTTGCCCTTGATTGCCCTTGAATGTCCCTCCCTGCCCCCCCATAACTGGCCCTTGATTATCCCTGATTTTTCCCCCTAGATAGCTTGCTTTGTTTGCTTATGTAAAACACGCTTTGCTAGTCCTTACAACATGTGACATCTGCCTTGTGGTTTTTACCTTTATAAACGTTGTGCTAGCCACAGTTGGGACTGCAAGGTGTTTTTTTTTGGGGGGGAGGTTATGAGTCTGCTTGCAAGTTGTGGGCTTTCTAATAAAGATTCCCACTTTGACCTCTCAAAAGTGTGGCTTCTCCGAACCTCACCAAATTCCCATGTATCAGTACTGTTTAGTGTTAGGGCATTCCCAGATGTGCGCATCTTGCATCATATTCAGTTTTGCTTTTTAGTCTTCGCTTTTTGGGGGGAGGGGCAGTCCTGGGCCTTGACCTCAGGGCCTGGGCACTGTCCCGGAGCTTCTTTTGCTCAAGGCTAATGCTCCACCACGTGAGCCATGGTGCCACTTCCAGCTTCTTCTGTTTATGTGGGACTAAAGAGTCGAACCCAGGGCTTCCTGCGTGTTAGGCAAGGACTCAACCACTGAGTCACATTCCCAGCCCATGATTTTGCTTTTTATTTTTGAATCCAACACCTTGCCCATGCTAGGCAAGACTAAGCCACAACCCTGCTTCCTTTCCCATGAGTTTTAGAACATTCTCATCACCTGCTGTAACTTGGAAAAAGCCTTCATTCTCCTATCTGCCACCCTAAGCAGAGGTGGTGGAATCATTAAGAGGTGGGGCCTAGATGGCGGAAGTGAGGTCATGGGGCGTGTCCTCCTGATGTCAGGACCTCAGCCCTGAATTCTTTTCCACTTCTCAGCAGTGGGTGAGCAGCCTTGCTCACCACACATTTCCACCACGCCAGGCTGCTTCACGCCATGTCCCCATCCATGGACGCCAGGCCCAAGATGGACAGAGCCAACCTGCCACGAAGCGCACCTGAAAAGGTGAGCCTAAGTAGGCCTGTCCTCCTTTCAAGTGGGTTTTCTTAGGTGTTTTTCACAGTGGTGGAAAGCTAGCATATGGCAGCCCCTTAGCAAGCACTTTCCAGTCTCCTTCCAAGTCTGCCACCACCCATCTACCTACATCTCTGTGGCTTGGCTAATTCTGGCCATGCCAGTTAAAATGCAGCCTGGTGGTGGAGCATTTGCCTCCCATTATGTGAGGCTCTGGATTCCACCTGGCATTGCCAAGAGGAAAAGAAAAATTGGAGAATACTGTGATCTATGGAAATGAGCTTCCCTAAGTAGTTCACAGTTCATCTGGGTGGTAATGTCAATAGATCACTCATTTGGTTGCCAAATAATATCTTGTCCTATGGATACAATATTTTGCTTATCCACTATTGCTTGATGGACAGTTAGGGTGTTTCTTACTTGATTTTGTGAATGTTGCTATGAATATGTCTAACCTTTGTGCAGCCCTGTGTTTTCATTTTGATGGCTACTAGAGTTTGAGCTTGCTGGACAGGTGCGTTCCCAGTGAGCCACACTCATAGCCCTTTCTGCTTTAGTTTTTTTTTTTTAAACATTTGGTGTCCTTTATTCCTTATCCTCAATTACCTCTTCATCAGGTTTTTTTTTTTTTTTTTTTTGGGTCCAGTCATGGGCCTGAACTCTGGGTCTGGGCGCTGTCCCTCAGCTCTTCAGCTCAAGGCTAGCGCTCTACCACTT